TATATATATATATAATATTCTCTTTCTTCTTAAATTATCTTTTTGGTTAATTTGTTCGGAACAACCTTAACAGCATCATATAACTTTAGCCGATCTTATACAGTTCTACTTAACAGCCAGCAAATCTTTGAGAAAATTTTTGCAGATGAATTGATTATGGATATAATTGGTTGTCTTGAGTGTATGTTCATTTCTTCTATCTCCTAGTTGCTTGACTTTTCATTTTTTCACAGCCCTTATTTGTTAGTTATTTGCAAATTTTTTTTGTACTTTTGGTGATTATAGATGACCCCGAGGTACCTCAAGTTCAACACCATCGCATATTTCTCAAAGAGCATGTCGTTTTTAAGGAGGTAATTTTTTTTTTCTAAAACCTAAATAATTTTATCTTTTTTTCATCTTTTTGGGTTTAACCTTTTGCAGGCGATCCCTATTAAGGATTCTTTAGTTCTTTCGAAGATACATCAGACATATAGAATTGGTTATATAAAGGTCTGTTATCATACATCTCGATACTATAAATTGGTTTCTTTTTATGGTGTTAACTCTTTAAGGTTGGTCTATGAATTGCAGGATGTCATTTTACCTAGAGTCTTGGATGAGGCAACTATTGCAAGTCTTAACTCCATTATTCATGCAAATAATGCTGTTGTTAGTAACTTATGTGAATTTATGACATCAGGAGACTTTTGGCGATTCCACCATTTCTTGCTTGATGACTGATTTTTTTACAGGTTATTTCTTTGTTGAAAGATGATGCTTCTTTCATTCAGGAATTATTTGCTAGGATGAGATTGCCTTCAACTTCTATGGAATCTAAACGGGACATGGTAAATGCATGCTATCCTATATCCCTTGTATACCTATGGTTTCCTGAAGCCTCTTGTATTCTACGTTCATTGTGTGTCTGTTGTCTTCTTTTTGAGGGCTTTTATTGACCTTTGTTTCTTATTCTTAATGCTAGAAAATCTTCATTGGAAAATTATGTTAATTGCTAATTCATTATTATGAAGGGGCTACTGTATAAAAGAAATAATAATAATAAAAAAACATTGATTTTTTCCAATTGCCTAATCCTACAAATATGCAATTCTTATCGTGCTGACTCATTTTTACCCTATAGAAATATTATGGCATAAAATTTTCCTATCAGATTTATTGTCTCACGTTTTTCTGCTTTTACACGAAGAATATTTCGTTCAGGAGTGTTTGCTGATTTGCATTCATTTGAGTCCTATGATGTTTTGAAGTGTTTCAGTTAAATTGAAATCGCATAGATGAATTGAGGGCACCTTTCTCTTAACTGAAAGAACTTTTTGTTGCTATGGTAGAATGATTTTGGAACATCATTATTATCATTATTATTATCATTTTCTTTATTCTTATTTTGTCATACTTTTGAAATTCTTTCAGTACGCTATCAATCAAACCCTCACAGTGAGAAATAGATAAATAATTAGCCATTGAAATGAAACATACAACCCAAGTGATGTAAGGTATATGTTTTTGAAGTAAACAAAAGTGACAAACAATATAACTATTAAACCCAATGTAAATAATATACTTGGCTATGCTAGCTGTAAGATTTTCACATCGACCACCAAATGTTCAAGAGGGTGTCAACAGGGAACAATGATGGCCTTCACAAGTTTAATTTGGTAAAGATTAAGGAGTTGTTTAGTTGCAAGTTTATAAATGCAATGTGTTTATATTTGACACTGATTTAGTTTCTGTAGATGGAGTTTAATGAATAACAAATGAGCTGAGGGTATTTGTAAGATGATTAGGAGGGGAAAACTGAAAACAAAATAAATTTTTGTGGTGAATTTGGTGTTGATAATATTTTTTTTTTAAAAATATATGAGCATATTATTACTTGTTAGAATGAATGTAATAAAACAAAAATTGATTATTTTTTTATGAGAAAATATATCATTGAGAATTTAAAAATTGTAAGGTCATTCTAATTCAAACTTTAACAACTCAACATCGATTATTAATTCTGAACTATAAGATCAGGAGTTGTAATATAAAAGATATAATGAAACATTATCATAGAATTAGAAAGGGTTATCTAAAAAACACAAATAATTTTTTTTTATGAGTAAATTTCAAAATTTTTAATATGTCATTTTCATGAAGAAGTTAATTCTATATGGGATAAAGTAACAAACACTATTAAACAAGTGACAAAGTTATACTTGTAGAATCAAAATGAAAAGTTTTTATAAATAAAAATAGTTGGTGCTGGAATAATAATGTGTAAGATAAAATATAAGAAGTTTTGTTATAAAAATTGTTTCAAATGTAATAGCTTATAAAACTGGGAAAAATATAAGATGACCCGCATTATGTTAAGAGTTATGCATTTAGTGATCTTTATAATAGATTAGATACTAAAGATGATGAAAAATATATGTATAAATTAGACAAACAAAGAGAAAATAAAATTAAAGATTTAATTCAAGTAAAATGTATTAAACATGAAAATAAAAAAAATGCTTTTTGTAAAGGAAGATAATCAATATAGGTGGTGAGATATTTAGATAATCTTTTCAAAAAAGTTTTTGAAAATACGGTCGACCTTAGTGATATTTATATCGTTAATAATAATAAAGCTTTTTTATTTTACCGTTGCATTCGTAAAAATGAAATTGAGGAGGGTTTAAAGAAAATCATTGGCGAAAAATCAGTAGGACCTGATGATATCCCGATAGAGTGTGGAAATATTCAGGAGATTTATGAATTTCTTCGCTTACTAAACTTTTTAATATTATATTAAAAACTAAAAAATTGCTAAGGAGTAGAGGAAGAGTATTTTGGTTCCCATTGTTAAGAATAAAGAGGATGCATAAGAGTGTGGAAATTATAAAGTAATCAACTTATTGTGTCATACATTATAATTATGAGAGGGAGTAATTGAACACATGTTAAGACATGATACAAAGTTTTCTTATAATCGGTTTGGATTTACGTTGGGCAAGTCTACTATGGAAGCTATACATTTATTGGGAGGTTTGATAGAGAAGTACATGGAGAGTAAGGAGAATCTACATATAATTTTTATTGATTTAGAAAAAGCTTATCATAAAGGTCCGAAAGAAGTTCTTTAGAGAGTTCTATAAAAGAAAAGTGTTGATATGACTTATTTTCAAGTCTTTAAAGATATGCATGCTAGAGTTGTTACTTATATTCGAAGAGAAGAAGGTTTGACCAAGTTTTTTTCTATTTTAGTAGAGATTACATTTGGTATCGACCTTAAGCTCTTATCTTTTTGCTTTAATTTTGGATGCTCTTACTGAACATTTACAGGAGAATGTAACTTGGTGCTTGCTTTTTGCTAATAATATTATTCTTGTGGATAATAATAGAGAAAGAGTTTAGGATAAATTTGAATTATGTAGGTCTACATTAGAGTCTAAATGCCTTCATTTGCGTAGATATAAAATTTAAAACTTGGAATGTAATTTTAGTAGCAGTAGATCTAGTGAAAAAGTTGTAACAATGGGTGAACAAATCATTATAAGGTATGAACATTTTAGATATCTCAGGTCTAATGTTCAATGGCGATATAGCTGGGGATGTTATTAGTAGGATTTAAGTTGGATGGTTGAAGCAGAGGAATGCATCAGGCTTATTGTGTGATAGAAAAGTTTCGCTTAGACTTTTATAAGATGGTGGGGAGACTTGCAATGTTTTATGGCGTAGAATGCCGACCTTTAAAAGAGAATTATAAAAAACTAAGTGTTGCTGAGATGAGAATACTTAGGTGGATGAGTGGCTTGACATTTAGAGACAATGTGAAACAAATGGTGCAGCTCCATTGGCAAGCAAGTTAGAGAGAGTCGTCTTAAATTCTTTGGTCGCATTAATCGTCGACCATCAAATGATCTGGTTAGGAGAGTAGATGCTTTACATTCTACTTATTTTAACAACACATTGATCTAAAAAAACTTTGGCATGTTGTATAAAAAAATTATATTAATTTATAAGAAATAAATGAAAATATGACATTCAATAAGACACAATGGAGAAAAATGATTCATTTTTCTGACCTCACTTAGTTGGAAAAAAACTTATTGTTGTTGATGATGGCTTTGGTGAATTAGGTGTTGCAACAACTGTCCTTACATAAAATCGCTGGAAAAGAGTGACTGATGGTGATGTTAGAGTGAGGATGTTACCCCACATATTTCCAACCAAGCAATAGGCACACCACTTGAATAGAATGATGTAGAGCTTTAGAATGGGCAGAAAATTTGAGAGTAATAACATAAAAAATTCAAAGCAAAAGTGTCCTATAGCTCTTTCAATAGAAACTATTTATTTTAAGCAAATAGAAATGCCCTAATCAACTTCTAAACTCGTCAAGTAGATCTCCCAAGGGCTGATGGCTTTTCTTGGGGTGGAAAGACCTAAACCGGTATTGTTTTGGACCATCCAAACATGCTAACATTGGCCTGAGTGGTTTTCACTCGTGTCATTCTCTCCAGGTAAGAGAACCTTCATCATTGTCCTCAGAAGCATTTGGATTCATATGGTACATCGATAAATTGTCAACATTGAATGTAGTTGAAATATTGACACCATGTAGATCAGTTTTATATGCATTTGTATTGATCTTCTTAACAACCCTTAATGGTTTATCGATTCTAAAACTGAGCTCCCCAAATGAACCTGACATATTAAATTTGTAGGTTGGTTTGAGAGAACAAATCTTAGGATGAAATCAATGACATGTTGGATATCTCTTAGTGGTGATAGCTCAAATAATAGTAGATAGTCAGGACATTCTGAAGCTCTTTTAGTAAGGGCTTTATTCTCTGGTATTGGCTCCTTGACCTCATTGCTCTTTAGGGCCACCAGTGCTAAACTGGTGCCTTTCTCAAGATCAGCAAAAAAGTAGTGTGGGGCACTATGTTCTTGGACTTTCTATGAATGTCTTGATATCAGAGTTAGCCAAGAATGAGAAATTCAATTATTATTACTAAAAGAAAGCCAATACACATTTACAACCAACACATTGAAAAGGGAAATAATAGCAGACATGACACACAATACAAGACTAGGGTGAATCTAAGGTGGTAATGGTGGTCGTTACTGGCTTGGAAAGGTGGCAGTAAGATAGGGAAGATGGTGGAAGGTGGGGAAACAACATTAAAACAACTTCAACCTGGTATCCTGTGCGGCTGCGAATAAAGAATGATGGGAACAGACAAGAATCAACAAAAATAGGCTGCACCAAAGCACTGGAATTGTGTGTGTGTGTGTGTGTGGGGGGTCTCTATTTTTTTTTGTTGATACTAGTAACAAGTATGGGAGTATGGATTGGTGGCTGGCGAGTGTATGTGAGCTAGAACAACATGTGGATATAAGAAAGAAGGGGTTTTGGGCAACAAAAGCAATGGAGGGGTGTCGGGAAGCAAAGCGGGAAGGAAGTGGAAGGGTAGAGGGCGGTTGTGCTGGGGCAACAAGGTGGGAAGGGGGGAAATGATAGCTGGAGGGTTGTTGGCTGAAGGAAATCAACAAGACATTCTATGTGGGGCAGTCAGGAGCAGGGAAGGGGCTCCTAGGAGCGATGTGGCGGAGGGGGACAGGGAAGATAATCACCACATCGGGAGCGAGATATTGCCAGATCATCACTCGAACCTTTGGATACTATCCTCAAAGAGAAAAAAAAAGATGTCAGTGGCTGTCCCGAACAAACACATGATAAAAATTAAACATAAAACATCAGCAAACAAATATATAAAAATAGGATAACTAGGACTGACTCAAAAGGACCGTCGATTCCAACGTATCAAACAAAGCCTGGGCTGGTTCGGTCTAT